CAGTCGAATCGAATTTTTGAATACTTCGCTCATCTCTAGTGGTAAGGTTCCTGTGTGAATTACATGTGATATGCCGCACCACAGAAGTGTGAAACCAGGCTTACACAGACTTAGTGATAGTGATTCAGCAACAATACAGCTATATTAAAGCAATACTGTATCAAAACTTTATCATTTCTTATTTATAAGTTTTAGTTTAGTGTCTTATTTTTCTCTTTTTGATAATTATACATCCATCAGCCAAAAATTTACTCTGACTACAGCAAATCTTAATAGGTAACTCATTTATAGCCTGGTTTAATCTCATTATTGTGTTTCTTTAAGGCATTTTACTGTATTGTGTGCTGAGGGGAAACGAAAAACACAGAAAGGATACCAAATATAGAACACAAGAAAATTGCAGACTTCAACTTTTTCTTGAAATAAAAATAGCTGTGCCAAGTCTCTTAAATGTTTAACCAGGGATAAAGAAACCCTATAGAAGCCTGTGAAAAAAGTCACCTTCCTGAATATAAAGCTGGTGGATATCATGCATATGTCGTAAAAATGATTAAACTTAGTCATGATCATCATCACATACACAACGAAGAAGATTACATTTTGTTTCTGTGCTTGCACAGGTTTTCTGGCTGGGTGAGCATAATCCACCGAAGAGTGGCGTGCTGAATCCAATTAACTACATTAAGCAGCTGTTATTGTGAGCAGTAGAATAGCCTGCAGATATGCACTTAAACTCATACATCACAAAATTAAATGTACCCACTGCACTGCCCAGAAGCCCACACTAATAAAATAATTGCTAATCATTTAAAGATGTATGAACCCTGACTTTGGGAGTGGGGGTTTAACATAAAACCAGAAAAGGACTTCTCACTATAGAACATGCATTTTCTTTGCTTTTATTATATTAAAAGATATAGTGAATAGCAGCAGTCAAAGTATGATATAAATCAAAATGTTCTGGCTATGGGTCAATGCTTAAATAATATTGAAGAGTTTTGCTTCGATGTGTCCTTAATATCAATCAGTAAAAGGCAGACCTTGAAATCATATTCTCATTGTCATTAAAGCAGGATTTATTGAGTGCGCAAAATTGAAATTATATTACACCTTTTATTACATGACATACACATCAGACTCTTCCAGCTCAACATTATATTATCCTTTGACTCTGTTCTTGGTTTACAGAACGCTTTCTGTGTGACAATAAATGCAATAGATTTTATATTTTTTCCATGCATTAAAGGACTGTGTGGTATTTTTCTGTATATTTTTCATTACTATGTTTTGGACTAAAAAATATAATTTTCAAAAGTATTGTTGGCCAGCTAAAAAGGACATATTACAAATTCATAGTTAATATTTATTTTTTCCAAAGACCAAGTGTGGCTTTCTTTCACATGTTTACCTATTTACTCTTAGACAATCTGTTGGAAAAAAAAAAGCTTATTGTTTACAGGCATCAATATCTCAAGCACAAATGTGAGGTTTAGTGTCTCCTTTCCCTCTTTGATCTATACAAATCAACCATCATTTCAAACCAACAGAGAGAGAGAACCTGAAGGCAAATAGTTACTGATGTGCCCTCTCCATTTGTAAAATTAAAGATTCATATGAATGATCAAAAATATAAAATCAGTTTAGCAGTTTATAAAACGCTTAAACAAAAACTAAATAGCATTGAACTAAAACAATATAGTTTTGCATTAGTGGACATGAGTATAGTGATGGTCTTTAGGTCGTCTGTTTGGCTGAGCTGCTAAATACTTTTCTAGAGGTTGTGATTATGTTATTCTTACTTAGAAGAGATTCACAGCCCTTTGCCCTGTCTTTGGAAAAGGAGGTTGAAAATGGAAGACAATGAGAGGTGGGCAGCTTAAAGTTAGAAAACATAGTATTTCAAAAGTAATTAAAAGTTCTGCGGCTTATCTGCGCACATGCACAGCACAAAAAAGCTTTTAACTTAAAAAAAGTATATTCTATTGTGAGAGGGGGAGGGCAAGACAATATGAAAGCTCAGGGTGAAAGTCTGCTTTCAGATTATATAGTTGAGTCAACACCCAGTCACTAGTGTCACAAGACAGAATAGATGTATTGTTTTATTTTTTTTAAATGGTGGAGCCCACTAAAAATATTTTGCATTAAGGGCCAGTTCACACTACATGTGTTTCAGTTTTTGTTTCTGCATCCAAAATGCACAGAAATTAGGTTATATGGTTGGCAATGTCATAGTTCACACCAGTGCTAGCAGTTCCAGTGCGTTCCAGTTACAGAAAAAAAAAGTAGAATGTGTTGTAGATTTGTGCACAGAACTGTACTGGAATGGGAGGATCATCCCAGCAGTCCTATAAGGACAAAAAGTTAGTTTTTGCCTTTTTATAAGGCAAAACCTGAGGTGAGCGCATAATAAAATCACACTGCACGTGGATTATGGGATTGCACCATCATAATTTAAATTGAAAGAGGACTGTCTATGAGCACTTTTTCATATATATTGTTTTTATCACTATCACTATTTACTATTGTCACCAGCACAGGATGCGGTATTTATTTATGATGTTAAAAGCAGAAGATAATTGTATTTTATACACTAAATATAAGTATATATATTATTTTATTATTTTTTCATAATTTTTTTTTTTTCTTTGGATTGTCATTTGAAATAGTGAATATTGTAATTATTTATACACAGGAACGTGGCACAATTTATATATTTAATTTTCTCACAGAACACTGTCTAATGAGTAGGTGTGAGTGCCAGCGAACCACAGGTGTATCATATATTGTGTTTTGTTTTGTTTGTCAAATTAATTAATGGTAATAGTTTAGACAAACACCATAGTAGCTCACAAGTACACTCATTTATTTTTTTGCAGAACGTGTCGTAGATTTGTGCACAGAACTGTACTGGAATGCAGTAAAACGCACCATAAAGCACTAAAATTGCACTGGAACGCACATGTCCCTATTTAAATTGAAGAAAAAGAGAGGGAAAAATTAACTGGATTGCATCAAAAAAGCACTAGAACGCATCAAAAACGCATAAAAAATGCACATGCAAAAACGCATCCAGAACGCATCTGGACTGCATTTCTATAGTGTGAACCTGTCCTAAAAGGACAAGTTGCCCTGTTTGCAGTATATTTCTATGCAATTTAACAAAAAAAAAATGTAACAAAAACCAAAAAACATGTTTTTTCATTAATTTTACCAGTTTTGGATTTAAAACAGAGAATCTGCCTGGGTTTGGTTCATGAACAGTTTATTGAATCTTTCTTGAAGTGTAAGATTTGCAAACTTTTCAGCAAAACCCCTTTAAGAGAGGAAAGGGGGGTGAAACTTGTAATTTAATTTTGGCTATTTGCAGGGTGCAAGCTAAGGTCAAACAAACGGTGTTGGTAGCCAGCCACTACTTTGAACACTTTCCAATGCCAAAATTAGAAAAACAAACACTATCTCTTCCTATACAGGCTTGTCTTCTCTGCTCTCCCTAACTGCTCCAAAACACACTGGCTTGGCCAGTTCTCTTAAAATATTTACTTAGCTGCCCGGGGCAAAGGCCATGCATAGCCTTATTGATTGTTCATTATTTCCGGCAGCAAACCTGTAAACTTTTTGGCCACAAGTTCACAATCCATGAACTTCTCAAATCCTTAGGATATGCCACAAAGTTATGAGTAGCAAAACAGAACTTGGCATGCCGCAGTCACTGTCACCCTATTTACAATAGGATAAATGTGCACCAGATGGATGCAACAGCCAATTAACAGCCTCAGATTTCACATGTATAGATGGGCAATTGTACCCAGGTTTGAATTGGCATTTGTTCAGTGAATTCTATTTTAAATTTAATGTATTCAAACTTGGCAGCAAATCCCACTGAAGTCTAAGGGGCCAATACTGTTATACAATTTCAGACATTTTTGGGGCTAATAGTCAAACTACTGTAGAAAAAAAATACAATAATAAAATAGCCATACAGCAGGACAGGGTCTTAAAGAAGTTTTTTAAAGATACACAAATCATCTAAATTACATGCCCTGGGGAAGCAATAAAACTGTATGTGGTGTTATGCAGTAGTACAATTTTCATGGACAGTCACAACAACTGTATACATTGAATGATCTGATAGTACCTGCGCTTTTTCCTATGTATCCTGGTATACCTACCCCTCCAATCCCAGCTGCTGCTTTTAGTATTCCTCAATTAAACACTATAGTGACTGAAATAAATGAAGAAAGCAGCGCTAATTACATGTACTAAATAAACAAAACATGCTGATTACTATGTGTGCAAACTAGTCATATATACATCATGTGCAAACAAAACATGACCTATACACTAAAAGTACCACAGTGCTATGATTAAATACCGCAATCAAATAATAGCAGTTTCATAAAAAAACTTTACGTCTTTACATGTCCATGAAAGTCACTCACACCAAGAGTATATACATGTTATTCAGTAACAGTAAAGGCAATGTCGGTCTTTCTAAATATAACAAAATACCCAATGTCTAACCAAGTGAAAATAAAATTATAATTATAAAGTCCTTCCAAAGTTCTCCATATACCTTGATGGAGTCTTCTTTAAGTCCACCAGATCTTAGTGATCCTTTAATCTCCAATACTCCTCAAAGCAATGCGTCTTCTTCTACCCTTAGTACCTCAAAAAGTGCTTCTTTAGATTTTGTTCACTCACCAGCTACAGTTGACCCCTTATAAATATAAGAAGGTCAATTTTATCCTTGTGTTGTATCAAGATGACTCTTTCTAATGTTCCACCACTTCAGGGAGGTCACAGACTATGTATGTTTACACCTTAACCACTTGCCTACAGGGCACTTATACCCCCTTCCTGCCCAGGCCAATTTCCAGCGCTGTCACACTTTGAATGACAATTGCGCGGTCATGCAACACTGTACCTATATGACATTTTTATCATTTTTTTTGAGACAGATAGAGCTTTCTTTTGGTGGTATTTAATCACCTCTGGGATTTTTATTTTTTCTTAAACAAACCAAAAACCACTGAAAATTTTTTTTTAAAAAAGTTTTTTCTTAGTTTTTGTTATACAATTTTGTAAATAAGTGATTTTTCTCCTTCACTGATGTGCACTAATGAGGCTGCAGTGATGGGCACTGATAGGTTGCACTGATGGACACTGATAGGTGGCACTGATGGGCACTGATGAGGAGGCAATGGTAGGTTGCACTGATGGGCATTGACAGGCATCACTGATGGGCACTGAAAGGCAGCACTGATACATGACACTGATATATGGCACTGATAGGTGGCACTGATAGGCAGCACTGACTGGCACTGATAGGCGGCACTGACTGGCACTGTTTGGCAGCACTGCCTGGCACTGTTAGGCGGCACTGACTGGCACTGATAGGCGGCACTGATGCACACTGATAGGCGACACTGACTGGCACTGATAGGCGGCACTGATTGGCATTGATAGGTGGCACTGATGGGTGACATTGAAAGGCAGCTCAGATGGGCACTGCTATGCACTGATATGTGGCATTGATGTGGCACTGATGGGCACTGGCACATGGCACTGATGAGCACTGACTGCTGGCACTGATGGACACTGACAGGTGGCACTTCTGGGGCCACACTGATCATCAGGGCACAGTGATTATCAGTGCCCTGATGATCAGTGTACATGTCCCCTCCGCGGAAAGCCGATTACCGTGACAGCTCGAGAGGAGAGAAATGCCCATAACCGGCATTCCCGTGTTTACATGTGATCAGCTGTGATTGGACACAGCTGATCACATGACCGAGCCGACATCTTCGGCTCTTTCCGTGATCCGCTGTGTCCAAGGGACACAGCGCACCGGCAATCGCCTCGCAGCCCGCTCCCACGCATGCGTGGTGAGAATGGAAGGACGTCATATGACGTCCTATCAGAACGAGAGAACCACCTTGCATCTGTCATTGTACTATATGGCGGGCGGAAGGTGGTTAACATATCATTCAGATAGAGGGACAGAGATCCAAAAAGGGAGATATTATTGCGCAAAAAAAACATTTTTGCGCAAAATATTTAAAAAATGCATAAAATCCACTCCTATTTAAAGTGCCTTATTTGGCACCCAGTATGACCAGTCAGATTAACTGTAAGAACCGCTGTTGCTCCCCTGGATACTGGAGCCAGCGAACATTCCAGATGGGGGAAGTGATGAGAACACACGTGATGTAATGGACCAGAAAGCCTGCCTTTACAACCCGGTCACATTGGGTACGACTTGGCATGTGATTTGCATGCCGTGCAACTTGCAATTCGTATGCAAGTTGCACCCAATTGTCCACTATTAGAGCTCTCATATCAGTGCGGTTCCGACTTGGTCAGAACCACACCAATTTCTAAAGTAGTACATGTACTGCTTTTGGTGCAATTTCATAGACATCTGTGTCAGATATCTTGCAAATCGCAACTGAAACCGGCAGGACACCTGATTTTGAAATAGTGCGACTTCACTGCAAGTCGCACGATTTCAAAATTGTCTTTGATGTGACCGGGGGCTTATGCATTTTGTCACTGGACATCATCAGGAAGCAGTCCATAAACTGCATTCCATAACTGCATACATTGGAAGCACATATTTGGCTAAGAAACTCATTGTTTTGTTTTACAACTAGCTTAGCTTAACTTTGGAAGATTCACCCACCCCCCTTCATGACCAGGCCATTTTCTGTGATACAGCGCTATGAAATTTATGTCATTTTCCCCCCCACAAATATGGCTTTCTTTTGGTGGTATTTGATCACCTCTGTGGTTTTTTTATTTTTTGCCCTATAAACAAAAAAGAACGACAATTTTGAAAAAAACCTCCAAAAATATTTTTGACTTTTTGCTATAAAACATATCCGATAAAAAAATTTAATTTCTTCATATATTTACAGTGAGGATCAGAAGTATTTGAACACCCTGCGATTTTGCAAGTTCTCCCACTTAGAAATCATGGAGGGGTCTGAAATTCACATTATAGGTGCATTCCCACTCTGAGAGACAGAATTAAAAAAAAAATTAAGGAAATCACATTGTATGCTTTTTAAAGAATTTATTTGTCTTGCACTGCTGAACATAAGTATTTGAACACCTGAGAAAATCAGTGTTAATATTTGGTACAGAAGCCTTTGTTTGCAATTACAGAGGTCAAACGTTTCCTGTAGTTCTTGACCAGGTTTGCACACACTGCAACAGGGATTTTGGCCCACTCCTTCACACAGATCTCCTCTAGATCTGTCAGGTTTCGGGGTTGTCGCTGAGCAACATGGAGTTTCAGCTCCCTCCAAAGATGTTCTATTGGATTTAGGTCTGGAGACTGGCTAGGCCAATCCAGAACCTTGATATACTTCTTACGGAGCCACTCCTTGGTTATCCTGGCTGTGTGCTTTGGGTCGTTGTCATGTTGGAAGACCCAGCCACTACCCATCTTCAATGCTCTGACTGAGGGAAGGAGGTTGTTGCTCAAAGTCTCACAATAAATGGCCCCATTCATCCTCTCTTTAATACAGTGCAGTTGTCCTGTCCCCTACACAGAAAAGCACATGATGTTACCACCCTCATGCTTCACAGTAGGGATGGTGTTCTTGGGATGCAACTCATCCTTCTTTTTCCTCCAAACACGACAAGTGAAGTTTAGACCAAAAAGTTCTACTTTGGTCTCATCTGACCACATGACTTTCTCCCATGCCTCCTCTGGATCATCCAGATGGTCATTGGCAAACTTCAGACGGGCCTGGACATGTGATGACTTGAGCAGGGGAACCTTCCGTGCAATGCATGATTTGAAACCATGACGGCATAGTGTTCTACCGACAGTGACCTTTGAAACTGTGGTCCCAGCTCTCTTCATGTCATTGACCAGCTCCTCCCTTGTAGTTCTGGGCTGATTCCTCACCTTTCTTATCATCAGTGATACCCCACGAGGTGAGATCTTGCATGGAGCCCCAGTCCGAGGGAGACTGACAGTCGTCTTTAGCCTCTTCCATTTTCTAACAATTGCTCCAACAGTTGATCTATTTTCACCAAGCTGCTTGGCAATTGCCCCGTAGCCCTTTCCAGCCTTGTGGAGGTCCACAATTTTGTCTCTGGTATCTTTTGACAGCTCTTTATTCTTGCCCATGGTAGTAGTTGGCGTCTGACTGACTGTGGGGTAGACAGGTGTCTTTAAAGAGCTCAGACAGGTGCTACTAAGTTAGATTAATGAGTGGAGTAGAGGTGGACTTTTTAAAGGCACAGTAACAGGTCTTTGAGAGCCAAAATTCTTGCTGTTTCTTAGGTGTTCAAATACTTATGTTCAGCAGTGTAAGACAAATAAATTCTTTAAAAATCATACAATGTGATTTCCTGAATTTTTTTTTTTTTAATTTTGTCTCTCAGATTGGGAATGCACCTACAATGTGAATTTCAGACCCCTCCATGATTTCTAAGTGGGAGAACTTGCAAAATCGCAGGGTGTTCAAATACTTCTGTTCCTCACTGTAGGCCAAAATAAATTCTGCTATATGTCTTGGGTAAAAATAAAAATCCCAAAAAGAGAATATTAATTGGTTTACATGAAAGTTATAGCGTCTACAAATGGCGGTATATACACTGGAATTTTTTATTTATTTATTTATTTATTTATTGTAGTAATGGCAGCGATCAGAGAAATAGAAAGCAGCACATTCCCACTGACAGGGGAGAGATCTGTGTTGTTTACACTCAGATTTCTCCCGTCAGCTGCTCCGCCCATCATTGAGTTCTGGCCATGAATTGCTGGCCGGTACCCATTAATTGACATTTCCGAGAGCCAATGACAATGCGGGTAGGGCGGTACGCATGCGTGCCCCCTACCCGGAAATGCAAAATCACATATATATATATATATGTACAGAGCAGCTGCCCTGTAGCAGTACATCTGCTATGGGGCGGTCAGCAAATACAGCAGCAGCATCCCAATCTGATTAATTTTAGATGTTTTTTTTTCAGGTAGTGTTAGTAGCAACATGTGATTTTTCATCAAACAGTAATAAGCTAGCTTTGAATGGTTGATAGAAAATGACCAGTTGTTTTTTTAGAGGCTATCCCTTCCCTGACTGATGCAAAACTGTTCTGCCAATGGCCCATTTCTATCAATGCAGAGGATACAACAGAGTAAAACTGGCAAGCTCTGATGAAGAAGGTACGTCCTTCGAAACGCATCAGCTGTTCCCTGGGTGTCCACTCCTCTCATGGGACTCACGCAGACTGCTTTTATCCTTAGTCCCTTTGAGGACTTACATGCATAATATACTTCAGTGTTTGTGAGTAGTATTCTGTTATTAATAAATTTTGGCTTACTGAGGTAATGCGCAAGGTTGGTGCGCTTTTTGTTTGTTTTCACTTTGCAGTATTGGTCGGGCTTCCCCAGCCTTGTTTGGAGCTGCACAACCCACTGGTGGTAGAAACCTCCAAGTCCTGGCTGCATCTGCTTACCCCAGGCTGGGTCATAGAGCGCAAGAGAGTTTGTTTTCTTCCTAAAACTGGTAAGCAACAGGATATTTCAAAAAGGGAGAATTGATCTAAATGTCCTAAGGAAAAAGAGTTCAGACAGGTGTATTAGTACTAAAATTAGGAGACCAGAGATGATGCAAATCTAGACTCATATTACTAGAGTACAGTACTAGAGCACAGGTTCTGGCTGTTATTGTGCTCACCCAAGTCAGGAAGTCTAAGTACCAATTGGTCTTTATCAGAGTTCCTAATGGTGGAAATGGGCTGGAAACCCAAATGGTCTCCAGTTTTTCTCGCTGCAAACTGCCATCAGGCCTTGGCCCATAGGATTGTCTCACAAAAAGGGTTGCTGGAACTGAAGGACTGTTCACAAGGTGGTAGACAATGGATTAGTTGAGTTCAGGCAGAGGTGGTGGCAGGGGGAAAACAAAAGAGTTGTCAGGTCCATGCTAGGGTTGTGACAGGCAGAAGTGTAGGTAGACATTTTAATGTCTTGATTACTCTAAAGAATAAGAGTACAGGCAGATAATATTAGGATTTACTACAATTAGGAGACCACAGATGATGCCTTATATTTTTAGAGCAGAAAATGCATAAATTCTGTAGCCATCCCTTGCATCACTCACCTTATTAGCTTGGCATTCGAGTAACTATTGCAAGCCAATGCTCAATAGAAACATCCAATTTAGCAGTCAGGAAAGAAAAGCACGTTGATAGGAAGAGAAAGCAGAGTGACGGAGTGCTCATCACTCAGCTACTTTTCTTTTTGCTGCCCAGTCCCAGGCTGCGGAGGAGCCAGGACGACCTGGGTTCAGAGTAAGTGGACTGAGTGATGGTAGCTACACTGAGGAAATCTAGTGGCAGACAAATAGGAACTGCAGGTGAAATCTTTGAATATTTTTTTTTAACTGGACTAAATTTCTGCTTTAAATGGAAGTCAGTTATTCTACCAGAATGTTCTTTGGGATTGTGGGAAGAACTTCATGCATAGAATGCCACTGGTAGTAATTGATCCCGTAACCCAGTCCTGCAAAAAAAAAAAAAAAAAGCACTAACTACATATGGTGGCCATACACATAACGATCTGATCAAACGATTCTTCCCAGAATTGGACAATATAATCAAATCTACTGTATGAATTGAAAAGACACATACTGTGTCATCAGTCGATTTTGAGAAAAATGAAAGCAGAATAATCTGGATGGAAAATCTGACTGTAAGAAATTAGATTGGCACACTAGTTAAGTGCATGGCACTTCAGACAATCCTCTTGATCTCCATCATATTTTTCATAGTATTATATTATCATATTAAATCTATCAACAATATTGTCTTATATAAA